GGGAGGGAGGGTGGGGGAGAGATGGAGGGGAGGAGTAGGGAAGGAGGGAGGAGGGAGGGGAGGGAGGGGAGTAGGGAGGGAGGGGAGAGAGAGAGAGAGAGAGAGAGAGAGGGAGGAAGGTAAGAAAAAAATTATGTAAAAGAGAAACATGACAGAGAGTGTCAAAATGACAGAAATTGAGAAAGGAGAGAGAATAAAATACATGTACATGTACATGTACAGGTGCATGCATGTATACACTTAATCAATTGTTTTACTTTGGTTGCTGTCGTATTTTCTTTCTTCTCTTGTTCTTCTTTGTCTCTCCTTCATTGCTCTGTGCTCAATCACAACCTCCTCCCTCTCCTTATACTGTACACACACACACAATGGAAAAATAATATCAACAACAACAACAACAATAATAATAATAATAATAATAATAATAATAATAATTACGACAATTACGTGTGTACATGTACATGTATACATGTACATGTGTATGTGTAGGTGCAAATATTATTATTAATTTTTTTTTAATAATAAATAATAATAAAAATATTATTATAAATTTATTATAATTATTATTTGGCAGTGTCCCTCAAAATCCTTTGGCAAAATCCCTCCAAAATTACAAGCAAAGTCATTATGTACATTTATCTATTTTTTAACTCAGGCACACATACATGTATGTATACTGTATATGTACATGTATTTATTAATAATTTATTATTACATGTACATTATTTTATATCATACATGTACATATATAATAATAATTATTATTATTATCATTAATTTTACTTCAATGTGCTTCTTGAGGTAGTTTTCAATCTCAGCATGTGCTCTCTTCTCTTATGCTAGTTCTTGTTTCAGTCTCTCCCTCTCGTTATAAAGGTCAGACTCTTTATTCTGTTGCTGTCTCTGACTGCACTGAACTTTGACCTTTTGAAAAAACAATAATAAGCAACTCATTAATATGCGTGCATGTGTGGGTGCATGCATGCACCTGGATTGATAAGAAAGCAAAATACATGTAATGATTCTTTCCAAAATTTTAGATAAAAATTTTGCTTGGATAAATAAATTATTGTATGTATTATGTACATGTATAATTATTACTTACGTCTGATTGTTTTTTAATGTATTTATTAAGTAGTCCGGTGTGAGC